CTTTGCCTAGTATTCTGGAGTCAAGTGCTCCTCTGGTTCGCCTCTCCAGAGATAAACCTGAGTCTCTGCTTGAGTGAGTAATGGGATCCAGTGGCCTAACCACTTCTGACATGTAGGCTTACAAACAATCCTGTGTTTTCATCTCAATCCACATCTCCTCGCCTCCTGATGCTTCTTATTACTACCCCTTTCTGGGGCTGCGCCACCAGCCAGGTGCTTCTTGTCTCCCTTCCCTCTCAACAACAGGACACTTAGTTCTTTCCTTTCTCTGTCAACAAATTTTGGTGATTTGTTGACAAATTACCAAAAGTGGTAGTTCATCTGCCACTCTATTGACTAAAATTTGTTGACAGTTCTTGTCTGTCACCCTTTCTCCTATCTTCTTGGTCTTTATAGGCTTATACTTTTTGAATACATTTGTTGTTATTTGATGCAGTGTGGGGAATAGAAGGAGGTAAATGTATATGTTCATTTTACCATGTGCAAATGGCTCCTTTTTATTACAACTTTTTAGAATTGCCAGCCATGGTGGCTCAAGTCTGTAATCCCAGCACTTTGGGAGGCCAAGGCGGGTGGATCACAAGCTCAGAAGTTTGAGACCAGCCTGGCCAACATGGTGAAAGCTCGTCTCTACTGAAAATACAAAAATTAGCCAGGTGTGGAGGTGTGCACCTGTAATCCCAACTACTCAGGAGGCTGAGGCATGAGAATTGCTTGGATCCAGGAGGCATGGGTTGCAGTGAGCTGAGATCATGCCACTGCACTCCAACCTGGGTGAAAGAGCAAGAGCAAGACTCCGTGTCAAAAAAAAACAAAAACAGAAACGGCCGGGGTGGTTGCTCACACTTGTAATCCCAGCACTTTGGGAGGCTGAGGTGGGTGGATCATCTGAGGTCAGGAATTTGAGACCTTCCTGACCAACATGGAGAAACCCCGTCTCTACTAAAAATAGAAAAAAATTAGCTGGGTGTGGTGGCGCATGCCTGTATTCCCAGCTACTCAGGAGGCTGAGGCAGGAGAATCACTTGAACCTGGGAGGTGGAGGTTGTGGTGAGCCAAGATCAAACCATTGCACTCCAGCCTGGGCAACAAGAGCAAAACTCCAACTTCAAAAAAGAAAAAATTGTGAATAAATCTCAAAATTTTTTCAAATATTACAGAAATGTACAGTTTAAGAAATGCCAGTCTCCTGTAATCCCTCCCTGAGAGAGAACCACTGGCAGTAGTTTGATATTCTCGAACTCTTTCCAGGCTTTTAATATGTATGATATAATCATATATATATGTATACACACATGCTTATTTATATTTACACAAATGTATATATATTTGATGTATTCCAACATATGTGTGCTGCAAATATATAAAAACAGGCCAGGTGCATTGGCCCATGCCTGTAATCCCAGCACTTTGAAAGGCCTCGGCAGGTGAATCACCTGAGGTCAGGAGTTCAAGACCAGCCTGACCAACATGGTAAAACCTTGTCTCCACTAAAAATACAAAAATTAGCTGGGCCTGGTGGCGTATACCTGTAATCCCAGGGAGGCTGAGGCAGGAGAACCATCTGAACCTGGGAAGCGGAGGTTGCAGTGAGCTGAGATCACACCATTGCGCTCCAGCCTGGGCAACAAGAGCAAAACGCATTCTCAAAAAAATAAAATACTGTTTTTAACATTTATTTATTTATTTGTTTGTTTATTTTGAGGCAAAGTCTCTCTCTATTACCCATCTGAAGTGCATTGGCCTGATCTCAGCTCATTGCAACCTCCACCTCTTGGGTTCAAGCGATTTTTGTGCATTAGCCTCCCAAGTAGCTGAGACTATAGGCATGCACCACCACGCCTGACTAAGTTTTGTATTTTTGGTAGAGATGGGGTTTCACCATGTTGGCCAGGCTAGTCTCACCTGACTTCAGGTGATTTGCCCACCTTGGCCTTTCAAAGTGCTGAGATAATAGGTGTGAGCCACTGTGCCTGGCCTAATTTTTTAAAAAAGATATTATACATACCACGCAGTGCAGTGACTTTATTTTTTCACCTAGCCACTTTCTGAAGCATCTCTCCACTTTAGTACCCTTAGCTCTGCTTCATTTGTAGAAAATGAGTGCATGGCATCGATGGAATTGTGTTGACCTGTCCTCTTTTGATGGGTATTTGTAATGTTTGACTCTCTCTTGTTACTATTATAAGCAATAGTGAGATGAATACCCTTTTGTATGTCTTTGTAAGCTAGTTTTCAAAAACTAAATGGAGTTGGGTGCCTGTAATCCCAGCACTTTGGGAGTCTGAGGCCAGTGGACCCGAGCTCAGGAGTTCGAGACCAGCCTGGTCAACATGGTGAAACCTCTTCTTGACTAAAAGTACAAAAATTAGCCACCTGTAGTCCCAGCTACTAAGGAGGCAGAGGCAGGAGAATAGCTTGGGCCAGGCAGGATGGCTCATGCCTGTAATCCCAGCACTTAGGGAGGACAAGGTGGGCAGATCATGAGGTAAGGAGATTGAGACCATCCTGGCCAACATGATGAAACCCCACCTCTACTAAAAATACAAAAATTAGGCCGGGCGTGGTGGCTCACGCCTGTAATCCAAGCACTTTGGAGGCCAAGGTGGGCGGATCACCTGAGGTCGGGAGTTCAAGACCAGCCTGACCAACATGGTGAAACCCTGTCTTTAAAAAAAAAATAACTGGGTGTGGTGGCACGTACCTGTAATCCCAGGTACTTGGGAGGCTGAGGCAAGAGAATCACCTGAACCTGAGCCTAGATTGTACCACTGTACTCCAGCCTGGAGCAGAGCAAGACTTCATCTCAAAGAAAAGAAAGAAGAAAACAAAACCGTGAGTGGGTTTGGAGGAATGACATGTTAGTAACCTGCAGAATCATGACAAGAAATTCAAAGTGATTGATAGGCCAGCCTGGTGGCTCACACTTGTAATCCCAGCACTTTGGGAGGCCAAGGTGGGCAGATTGAGCTCAGGAGTTCAAGACCAGCCTGGGCAACATGGTGAAACCCCATCTCTACTGAAATACAAAAATTAGCTGGGCCGGGTGATGTGCTCCTGGAGTCATAGCTACTTGAGAGACTGAGGCACAAGAATAACTTGAATCCAGGGGGCGGAAATTGCAGTGAGCAGACATTGTGCCACTGTACTCCAGCTTGGGTGACAGAGCAAGACTGTCTCAAAAAAGAAAAAAGAAATCAACACCATCTGTGACTGCTCTTCTGTGTTCCTTATGTCTTTTTCCTCACTACTTTCTCTTACTCACCTTTTGCTGTTATTACAATTCCCCTCTTCAGATTTCAGCTAAATTAATATCCTATATGTTGCTGTTAAGTACTAGGAACATTGTTAGGCATTCACTTATTTTACAACTTTGAATTCATATGTTTGTAAATAAGACATTACTACTTTTTAGTAATAAAAATGTTTTTCATTCTGCTGAATGAAAACAAAAATAGTAATTTTCAATTCACTTTATAGTATTTGAAAAGTGAGATTTTGGAAGACCAAGGCAGGAGGATCACCTGAGCCCAGGAGTTCAAGACTAGCTAGGGTAACATAATGAAACCCTGTCTCTACAAAAAAAAAAACTTAGCCAGGCATAGTAGTGGAGCATGTCTGTAGTCACAGCTACTTTGGAGGCTGAGGTGGAAGGATCACTTGAGCCTAGGAGGTCAAGGCTGCAGTGAGCCATGACTGTACCACTGCATTTCAGCCCGGGCAACAGAGCGAGACTCTGTCTCCAAAAAAATTATCAGATTTTTATTTTACTTTAACATCTTTAATCAGTAAAATCAATATTAGAAAAATTTTCACCTCATTTCTAATTTAAGTAGTTCTGAGATTCTGATCTGAAAAAGCCAATTTATGTTTTTTTGATTGTTTAAGAGATAGGGTCTTGACCTCTGAGGCTCAAGTGATCCTCCCACCTAAGCCTCTAGAATAGCTGGGACCACAGGTGCCACCATGCTTGGCTAATCAAAAAAAATTTTTGTAGAGCTTAGTACAGTGGCTCATGTCTGTAATCCCAGCACTTTGGGAGGCTCAGGTGGGAGGATCACTTGAACCCAAGATTTCGAGACCAGCTTGGGTAATATAGTGAGACATTGTCATAACTTTATTTTTTTTTATTTTTTGGTAGAGATGGAGTCTTATTTTTTTAATTTTATTATTTTACTTTTTTTTTTTTTGAGACGGAAGTCTTGCTCTGTCACCCGGGCTGAAGTGCAGTGGTGTGATCTTGACTCACTGCAACCTCTGCCTCCCGGGTTCAGGTGATTCTCCTGCCTTGGCCTCCCAAGTAGCTGGGATTACAGATACACACCATCATGCCTGGCTAAGTTTTGTATTTGTAGAGATGGGATTTCGCCATGTTGGCCAGGCTAGTCTCAAACACCTGACCTCAGGTAATCCACCCGCCTTGGCTTCCCAAAGTGCTGGGATTACAGGCATGAGTGACTGCACCCAGCTTATTATTATTAATTTTTTAATGTATTTGAGACAGGTTCTCACTCTGTCGCCCAGGCTGGAGTGCAGTGGCACGATTTCAGTTCACTGTAACCTCTGCCTCCTGGGCTCAAGCAATCCTCCCACCTCAACTTCCCAGGTAGCTGGGACTACAATAGCATGCCCCCACTATGCCTGGCTAATATTTTATTTTTTGTAGAGATTGGGTTTCACCATGTCACCCAGCCTGGTCTTGAACTCCAGCAATCTATCTGTCTCAGCCTCCCAAAGTGCTGGGATTATAGGCATAAGCCACTGCACTTAGCCCTAGATGTACTCTTGCTATGTTGCCCAGGCTGGTCTCAAACTCCTTGCGACCTCTCAGTGTTGGGATTACAGACATGAGCCACCATGCCTGACCTCCATTTTTAATCTATCTTGGTGTTCATGTTTTTATGAGAAGGCAACAACAATGTGAAACTGTGATTTGGGAATAGATGTTAGCTCCAACGTCACTGTATATAATTCTCTGATTTTTTTTTTTATTCCCCTAGATTTTACTATGAGCAGCAATTACTGCGGAAGATCTTCGGAGAATGGAAAGAAGAGTGGTGGGTTTTCCACCATGAGTGGAAACTCTGTGTTCGAGCTGACTGTCACTACAGGTCAGATTTCATGTTACACTCTGTCAATTTTACTGAGGCACATTATCAGATGACTGCTTGTTGGCATGTTATGGTCAAAATGAGTAAACTTTGGATCACTCTTCAAAAAGGATTTGTGTTTCTTCAAATCCTTTTTAGAGTTAGCAAGATTGAAGTCCCAAATTAAACCCAAGCATACATGCACATGCTGGGCACGTGAAAACACACACACACACCCCCCTCTAATTGAGGTAAACTTTATGTGCTTGTTATGCTAATAGTTTGAATGGGTTTTTCCTACCCATTCTCACTTCTATATAGTTCCTAATTCTGAAAGGATTGGGATTTTTTTTTTTTTTGAGACAGAGTTTTGCTCTTGTTCCCGAGGCTGGAGTGCAATGGTGCAATCTTGGCTCACTGCAGTCTCCGCCTCATGGGTTCAAGCAGTTCTCCTGCCTCAGCCTCCAGAGCAGCTGGGATTACAGGCACCACACCTGGCTAATTTTGTATTTTTAGTAGAGACGTGATTTCTCCACGTTGGTAATGCTGGTCTCCTCAAGTGGTCTGCTTGCCTAGGCCTCCTAAAGTGCTGGGATTACAGGTGTGAGCCACCATGCCTCACCCTGTTTTTAAAGTAATAAAGTGTTTTAATTTATATTGATTATGGGAAAAAACATATGCCCAAAATAGAACATTAAGAAAATAGAGGTCAGGTGCAGTGACTCATGCCTGTAATCCTAGTACTTGGGGATTCCAAAGCAGGTAGATCACTTAAGCACAAGAGTTTGAGACCAGCCTCAGCAACATGACGTAATCCCATCTCTACAAAAAAGTACAAAAAATTAGTGGAGTGTAGTGATGCCGAGATTGTGCCACTAAACTCCAGCCTGGACAACACAGCTAGACCCTGTCTCCAAAAAAAAAGAAAGAAAAAAAACTCTTACCCCTTGACATTCACATTCTCAGGGATAAGTGAAGGGGAAAGTAGCAATTGAGAATTGTTATATCAAATACACATTTTCAGACCTTTTTTTAAAACCTGAACGTCATTTCTTGTAGATCGTATATTTAAAATGGTATTCACTCTTATTATAGTTATGTCGTTAGGTTCTTTGGAGCAAGAGTTCTGATTTATGGCTATTTCAGATAAAATAGAGACACGCTGAGTTCTTCTAATAAGCAGATAGCAGGTGGATCACCTGAGGTTGGGCCACCTGAGCCAGGTGCAGTAGCTCACGCCTGTAATCCCAGCACTTTGGGAGGCTGAGGCGGGTGGATCACCTGAGGTCGGGAGTTTGAGACCAGCCTGATAAACATGGAGAAACCCTGTCTCTACTAATTAGCAGGGTGTGGTGGTGTGCATGCCTGTAACCCTAGCTATTCGGGAGGCTGAGGCAGGAAAATCACTTGAACCTGGCAGGTAGAGGTTGCAGTGAGCTGAGATCATGCCATTGCCCTCCAGCTTGGGCAACAAGAGCAAGACTGTCTCAATCAATCGATCAAAAGATAAAATAAAAATTCCAGCCTGTGCAACATGGTGAGACCCCCCCATCTCAACTAAAATACAAAAAAAATTTGCCAGGCATGGCAGCATGTGTCTGTAGTCCCAGCTACTTGGGAGGTTGAGACAGGAGAATTGCTTGAACATGAAGGCGGAGGTTGCAGTGAGCTGAGATTGCACCACTGCACTCTAGCCAGGGAGACAGGGTGAAACTTTGTCTCTCAAAAAAAAAAAATTAGCAGGGCATGGTGGCACGTCTCTATAGTCCCAGCGACTCATGATGCTGAGGCAGGAAAATCTCCTGAACCCAGGAGTTAGAGGTTGTAGTGGGCCAAGATCATGCCACTGCACTGCAGCCTGGGTGACAGAGTGAGACTATGTACTAAAAAAGAAAAAAAAAGTTTTTTGGTTTTTTTTTGTTTGAGACAGAGTTTCGCTGTTGTTACCCAGACTGGAGTGCAATGGCATCATCTCAGCTCACCGCAACCTCCATCTCCTGGGTTCAAGCAATTCTCCTGCCTCAGCCTCCTGAATAGCTGGGAACTCAGGCGCGCACCACCAGGCCCAGCTAATTTTTGTATTTTTAGTAGAGACAGAGTTTCACCTTGTTGACCAGGATGGTCTCAATCTCTTGACCTTGTGATCCACTTGCCTCGGCCTCCCAAAGTGCTGGGATTATAGGCATGAGCCACTGCACCCAGCCCTGTTCTCAATCTTTTGACCTCGTGACTGCTCACTTTGGCCTCCCAAATTGCTGGGATTACAGGTGTGAGCCACTGCGCCTGGCTTAATTCTTGCATTTTTAGTAGAGGTGGGGATTCACCATATTGGCCAGGCTGGTCTTGAACTCCTGATCTCGAGTGATCCAGCTGTCTCAGCTTCCCAAAGTGCTAAGATTACAGACATGAGCCACCGCACCTGGCTTGTTGTTTGTTTTAAAGAAATGCCATTTGCTTTTTTGGCTCCTCAGGTATTACCTGTACAACCTGATGTTCCAGACCTGGAAGACCTACGTGCATCAGCAGCAGGAGATGAGGAGCAAGTACATTAGAGCCGAGGTTCACGGTGAGAAAAAGAAGTATATGTCTAAGGAAGATGCCCAAATTTACTTTGCAGAAGGTCTTAGGAAGGATAAACACATTGTCTTAGAGATAGAATAACTCTAGGTCTAAGGAAGATTTGTTTGATTTTTCTTTCATAATCTTAGAATAGAATCTTAGACCTAGAATAACTCTAGATCTAAGGAAGATTTGTTTGATTCTCTTTCATAATTTTTCAGAAAGTGTGATCTCTGAGTGGGCACCTTAGGATTGGGTCCCTGTGGTTTTCTCAGTATGGCGTGGTTTGAGCCCTTAAAGCTCATTTAATTAGAATTTGTGTGAACTGGCTGTTCCTGGCCTGCTGGCTCAGTGTGCTGTCTGTGACTCTCCCCCATGGCAGCTGGGGCTGTGGTCTATCTTGCTGTGTCAAGTTACCTGGAGAGTCTGGAGCAGAGCTGCAGTGCTCTTTTTTTATCTGCTTGCCCAAGTTGTCCCTTAGTGATACTAAAGTGGCCACTTTAGCTCTGGTTAGTCTGGTTTCTCTGTGAATTGAACTGAGAAACCCATGTGGAAAGTCTAAGGAAAAAGACTTAGAGTTTCAAAATGATAATACAGACTGGATTCGCAGCAGAATATCCTAAAGATGCCTCAAATTCTGCAAGATACAAGTACAACCTGTCTACTCCCCTACCACTTAGACCTGCTGTTCCTTTGACTTTTCCTTAGGAATGGCATCCATTCCTCATGCCTTGTGTCATCGCTTACCTAATCTTTTAAGATGGCCCTCTGAGCATCACTTGCAGTCATCTTTGCATTGCTACTGCCTGAGAGTAATCCTTATCTTTTTTTCCAGAGTGTTATAAGTACCTCTTCATTAATCTCCCTCATTTATTTTTTCCTGCTTCTCATTGTACACATAGCTACAAGACTGGTAAGACATAGATAAGATCATGTCACTCCTTTACATAAAGTCAACCCTGCTTGGTGTGGCATACAAGATCTTTGTCGCTTCTGCTCTACACCCTCTGACCTTGACACACTGGATGTGTACTTCCTTATCTTTCCATCTTTGTCCCTATAGTTTTTCCTTCAGGCCCATTTACATGTCTAGCTTCCCCTTGATCTTCCCAGTGGTCTTTCCCCTGTCTGTATTCTTGAAATCTGAGAAGCTCTTACCAAAGCCTCTTAGTAACTGCACCAAACGCACTGTTTCACTGGTAAGTAACTTATACTGTTTTGTTGTTATTTTTTTAATTACATACAGTAAGATTCATTCTTTTTGATGTTCAGTTCCAAGACTTTGGTACACACTACCACATACAGCTAATTTTTTGTATTTTTGGTAGAGACAGCCTTTTGCCATATTGCCCAGGCTGGTTTCAAACTCCTAGTCTAAAGCAATCCACCTGCCTTGGTCTCCCAAAGTGCTGGCAATACAGGTATAAGCCACCGCACCTACGCTTAAGTTTAATTCTGTAAGAAACTGGCAAACTTTTTCATTGTGGCTGTATCATTTTGCATTTCCACCAGTAATTCATGAGAGTTCTACTTCCTCTACATTCTCTTGACTGCTTTGTATTGTCATGAAAATTTTTGCTTTGGCCATACTAATAGGTGTATACAGGCATTTAGTTGTGGGTTTTTAAAAATTATTGTTATGTGGGCATACTGCATAATGGTGGAGATTAGAGCACTCACTACCCAAATAGAGAACATTGTACATGATCGGTAATTTTTCAACCCTTGCCCCTCTTCCACCCTCCCTTCCCCCTCTTTTGGAGTCCCCAGTGTCTATTATCTCTACCTTTATGTCCATGTGTACCAACTGCTTAGCTCCCACTTACAAATGAGAATGTGGTATTTCATTCTTTTTTTATGGCTGGGTAGTATTCCGTGTGTGTGTGTGTGTGTGTGTGTGTGTGTGTGTGTGTGTGTTTGTTTTTGAGACTTCTCACTCTGTTGCCCAGACTGGAGTATGGTGTCATGATCTTGGCTCACTGCAGCCTCCACTTCCTGGGTTCAAGAGATTCTCCTGCCTCAGCCTCTCAAGTAGCTGGGACTACAGGCACGTGCCACCATGCCCGACTAATTTTTGTATTTTTAGTAGAGACAGGGTTTCACTGTGTTGGCCAGGCTTGTCTCAAACTCCTGACCTCAAGTGATCTGCCTGTCTCGGCTTCCCAAAGTGCTGAGATTATAGGCATGAGCCACCACACCCAGCTCTGGTGTATAGTTTCCTTATCTGTTGATGGATGCTGAGGTTGGTTCCATGATTTTGCTGAAGTGAACATATGAGTGCGGGTGTCTTTTTAATACAATTGTTTATCTTCCTTTGGGTTCCCCCTAGGGGGGATTGCTGGGTTGAATGGTAGTTCTGTTTTTAGTTTTTTGAGAAATCTCCATACTATTTTCCATAGGGGTTCAACTAATTTATATTCCCACCAGCAGTGCATTAAGTGTTCCCTTTCTCCACGTCCATTCCAACATCTGTTGTTTAATTTTTTATTTTTTACATGAGGAGGGGGTCTTGCTGTGTCACCCAGGCTGAAGTGCAGTGGCTTGGTCACAGCTCACTGCAGCCTTGACCTCCCAGGCTCAAGTGATCCTCCCACCTCAGACTCTTGAATAGCTGGGACCATAGGCATATGCTACCACACCTGGCTAACTTTTTATATTTTGTAGAGATAGGGTCTTGCTGTTGCCCAAGCTGGTCTTGGACCTCCCGACTCAAGTGATTCTCCCGCCTCAGACTCCCAGAGTGCTAGGATTATAGGCATGAGCCATCACATCCAACCTAACTTTTTAATAATAGTCATTCTGACTGGTGCAAGATGATACGTCATTGTGATTTGAATTTGCATTTCTCTGATAATTACTGATGTTGAATATCTTTTCCTGTGCTTATTTGCTATTTATATCTGTTTTTGGTGAAGTGTCTGTTCATGATCTTCTGTCATTTTAAATTGGGTTATTTGTGTTCTTGTTGAGATTTGAAAGTTTTTTGTTGGTTAGTTTGGTTTGGGTGGGTTTTTTTTTTTTTTTTTCGATATGGTGTCTTGCTCTGTTGCCCAGGCTTAAGTGCAGTGGTGCAATCTTGGCTCACTGTAACCTCCACCTCCCAGGTTAAGTGATTCTTCCACCTTAGCCCTCTGAGTAGCTGGGACTACATGGTGCGCTGCCACACCAAGCTAATTTTTGTATTTTTTTTGTTTTGTTTTCACTGTGTTGCCTAGGCTGGTCTGGAACTCCTGACCTTAGGTGATCCACCCTGCCTTGGCCTCCCAAAGTGCTGGACTCCAGGCATGAGTCACCAAGCCAAGCCTAATTTTTTGTTTTTTATATGTATTCTGTTACAAGCATTTGTCAAAGCATGAGTTGCATATGTCTTCTCCCAGTCTATGACTTGTCTTTTCATTTTCTTAACAGTATCTTTTTCAGAGGAAAGGTTTTTAGTTTTGATGAAGTCCAATCTATTCTTTTTTTATTTTTATGGGTTATGGGTTTGTTTTTGTTTTTTTTTTTGAGAGAGAGTCCTACTGTTGCCCAGGTTGGAGTGCAGTGGTGTGATGATAGCTCACTGCAACCTGGAACTCTTGGACTTTGACCTTAGCCTCCCAAGTAGCTGGGACTACAGGCATGCCCCACCATGCCTGGCTAAGTTTTTTAATTTTTTGTAGAAATGGGGGTCTTGTCAAACGTCCTTAAAGCATGGATGAAAAGTTAAAAAACAAGCAAAAAGAAATGGGGGTCTTGCTTTCTTCCTCAGGCTGGTCTCAAACTCCTGGCCTCAAGCAGTTTTCCTACTTTGGCTTCCTAAAGCCCTGGGACTATCGCCATGAGCCACTGTGCCCAGCTGAATTATATTTTTTGATGTATATTAGATGTCATCTCTAAGAACTTTGCCTTAACCCAAGGTCACAAAGATTTTCTCTTATGTTTTCTTCTAAACACTCTGTAGTTTTACATATGGATCTTGTATATCCTGCAAACTTGCTAAATTCATTTATTATCTAACAGCTTTTTTGTAAATTCCATGGGGTTTTCTGTGTAGACAAATTGTGAATAGAGACAGTTTTATTCCTTCCTCTTCAAGTTCTTTTTATTTTTTAATTGTACCGGCTAGGGCTTCCGTAAGATACTGAATAGGAGTGGTAACAGTGGACCCATCCTTGCTTTTTTCCTGGTCTTAAGGAAAAAGCACGCAGCTTTTAATCATTAAATATGATGTTAGTGGTATGCTTTTTATATATGTCCTTCATCAGTGATGTTAAGTAAATTATATTTCTACTTTTCTGAGCATTTTAATCATTATTGAATGTTGAATTTTTTTTCTGTTTTTCTGTATCTTTTGAGATGATTGTGAGATGATTTCTTTTTTAGTCTTTTGGTTTTTGTTTTTGAGATGGAGTTTTGCTCTTGTTGCCCAGGCTGGAGTGCAGTGGTGCAATCTTGGCTTACCACAACTTCTGCCTCCCAGGTTCAAGTGATTTTCCTGCCTCAGACTCCTGAGTAGCTAGGGCTACAGGCATGCACCACTATGCCTGGCTAATTTTGTATTTTTAGTAGAGATGGGGTTTCTCCATGTTGGTCAGGCTGGTCTTGAACTCCCAACCTCAGGTGATCTGCCCACGTCAGCCTCCCGAAATGCTGGGATTACAGGTATGAGCCACTGCACCTGGCCTCTTTTTTAGTCTTTTATTAAGGTTAATTATATAGAATGAGTTTCAACTTTTTTTTTCTTTTGCGATAGCGTCTTACTGTTTGGCCCAGGCTGATCTCAAACTCCTCAGCTTACATGATCCTCCTGCCTCAGCCTCCTGAGTTGCTGGGACTATAGGAATGTGCCACCGTGCCCAGCTGATATTCAAATTTTGAATCAGCTTCATATTCTCAGACTTTTTTTAAAGATAGGATCTTGTTCTGTTGCCCAGGTTGGAATGCAGTGGTGCAGTCACAGCTCACTGCAGCCGTGACCTACCTGGCTTAGGCAATCTTCCCACTTCATCCTCCTAAGTAGCTGGGACCACAGCTGCATGCTACCATGACCACCTAATTTTCTTTTGTGTTTTTTTTTTTTTATAGAGATGGGATTTTGTACTGTTGCCCAGGCTGGTCTCAAACTCCTGGGCTCAGGTAGTCCACTCACCTTAGCCTACTAAAGTGATGGGATTACAGGCATGAGCCACCAAACCCAGCCATGGTCCAGAGATTAATACCACTCTTTATATATTGGTGGGTTCAATTTACTAATATTTTATTGGGTGGGTGGGGTTGCATCTATATGCATGAGTGATATTGGTCTGTAGTTTTTCTTTATTGTCATATCTTTGTCTGGTTTTGGTTCCATTAATACTGGCCTCAGAATGAGTTGGGAAGTATTTCACCCTCTTCTATTTTCTAAAACAAATTTGTAGAATTGGTATTATTTCTTTATCGAGTGGTTAGTAAAATTCTCCAGGGCAATCCTAGTCTAGGCCTGGAATTTTCTTTCTTGGAGGGTTTTTAACTTTGAATTCAAGTTTTTAATAGATCAAAACTATTTAGGTTATTTATTCTTTCCAATTTTTTTTTAAGATGAGGTCTCACTTTGTTGCCTAGGCTGCAGTGCAGTGGTACAATCATAGTTTACCATAGCCTCTGTCTAACTGCTGAGCTAGGTGATCCTCCTGCCTCAACCTCCTGAGTAGCTGGGACTATAGTCATGTGCCACCGCACCTGGATAATTTTATTTTTATTTTTTTTAGAGCCAGAGTCTTGCTTTGTTGCCCAGGCTGGTTTCAAACTCCTGGCCTCAAGTGATCCTGCCACTTAGCCTCCCAGAGAGCTGGAATTATAGGCATGAGCCACTACACTCATTCTTGAGTGAGTTTTGGTAGGTTTTTTTGTTTTTTGTTTTTTGTTTTGAGATGGAGTCTCACTCTGTTGCCCAGGCTGGAGTTCAGTGGCACGATCTCAGATCACTGCAACTTCTGCTTCCTGGGTTCGAGCAATTCTCCTGCCTCAGCCTCCTGAGTAGCTAGGATTACAGGTGCACACCACCATGCCCAGCTAATTTTTTTTATTTTTAGTACAAATGGGGTTTCACCATGTTGGCCAGGCTGATCTTGAACTCCTGACCTTGTGATCTGCCCGCCTTGGCCTCCCCAAGTGCTGGGATTACAGGCGTGAGCCACTGTGCCTGGCCTGATAGTTTATATCTTTCAAGGAATTGGCCCATTTCAAATATGTTGTCAAATTTATAGGCATAGAGTACTTCTTTTTTTTTTTCTTTTCTTTTCTTTCCTTTTTTTGGAAACAGTTTCACTCTTGCAGCCCAGGCTGGAGTGCAATGGCGCAGGCAGTCTCGGCTCACTGCAACTTCTGCCTCCCTAGTTCAAGTGATTCTCCTGCTTCAGCCTCCCAAGTAGTTGGGATTACAGGCGCCTGACACCATGCCTGGCTAATTTTTGTAGTTTTAGTAGAGACAGGGTTTCACCATGTTGGCCAGGCTGGCCTCAAACTCATGACCTCAGGTGATCCACTGCCTCAGCCTCCCAAAGTACTGGGATTATAGGCATGAGCCACCATGCCTGGCCAAATATTTCATAATTATGATTTGATGTCTTCAGATTCTGTAGCTATCATTCCTTGATGTTGGTAATTTATGTCTGGTCTTTTATTCTTGATTAGTCTGGCTAGAGGTTTATCCCAGGATGATCTTGATCTTCTGACCTCATGATCTGCCTGTCTCGGCCTCCCAAAGTGCTGGGATTACAGACATGAGCCACCATAGCCAGGCTTTTCTTTTTTTCTTTTTCAGGTAGGATTTCCCTCTGTCACTCAGGATGGAGTGCAGAGTGGTGCAAACTCGATCCTTGCTTGGTTTCACCCTGGACATCAGGAATTAGCACATTTCAGGTAATGAGGACTAGTGTGGTGCTGTGGTTTAGAATTTGGGAGATCCTGAGTAAGGATATTTCTGTTTCCATTCAGTAAAAAATTTGTTTTCTGATTTTCCCTGAGACCTCCTCTTTGCCCCGTAGATTATTTAGAAGTGTGTTTAGTTTTATAATAGTTGGGATTTTCCCAATATCTTTCTATTAAGGATTTCTTTTTTTTTTTTTTTTTTTTTTTTTTGGGGGGGGAGGAAGGCAGGAAGGAAGGGAATAAGGACGGTAGGGAGGAAGGAAGGAAGGAAGGGAGGAAGCGGGGAGGGAGGGAGGGAGGGAAGGGAAGAAAGGAAATCAAGCAATGAAAGAGACATTGCCAACCTGGATCTAGAGGTTTACAAGTTGATTTCTTTTTTTTTTTGAGAGAAGGAAAGAAAAAAAAAATAAGTAAAGGAGAGGAAGAAAGAGGAAGAGAAAGAGGGAGAGTAAATGGAAATATTGCTTTATTTTGAAAAAAATTGGGTATTAATAATGGCCAATGTTTCATTTAAACTAATGGGTAGGTGTGATGTGGTATTGACAAGAATGTATATTTTGTGTATTTGAAGTGGAGAGCTCTATAAATATTTATTAAGTTTACTTGTTCTGGATCTGAGTTCGAGTCCTTGATATCCTTATTAATTTTCTGTCTCATTGAATCTAAGTCTCCTATCTGGGTGTTAGGATCGTTAGCTCTTGTTGTTGTCTATTAAGGATTTCTAGTTAATTCCATTATGGTTAGAGAACAAGACTTAGTATCATTTCAGTTCCTTTATTTTTGTTAAGGTTTGTTTTGTGGCCCCAAATAGCTTGGCTCTATCTTGTAAATGTTCTGTATTTACTTGAAGAATGTACATTCTGCTGTCTCATATTATTTATAGTTACAGTGAATCTAGCTAGGTATTATGGAATAGAAGGAAAAAGTCATTTGGAGGTTTAAGATAAAAAGAATTGTCCAGGCACGGTGGCTCACACCTGTAATCCCAGCACTTTGGGAGGCCAACGTGGGAGGATTACTTGAGGCCAGGAGTTCAAGACCAGCCCAGGAAACATGGCAAAAACCTCATCTCTAAAACAAAAAAAAAAATACGAAAATTAGCCAGTTGTGGTGGTGCGCGCCTGCAGTCCCAGCTACTCAAGAGGCAAGAGTTATTTCTGACATGTAACTAGTTATATCAGGCCATGTCCATAGACCTCAGGGAGTGTCCATTCACTCTTGCACTGTTAAATAAAAAGTTTGCAAGTACTTTTAAGCCTTAAGGAAGCCTTAAGGAAGCATGGGTCTCAAATATCTTGTGCATCAGAATCATAGCAGAGATAGTTAATGAGATTCCTGTGTTCCATATTCTGGAAAGAGCAGATAGTGTTTATTTTAGAAATTTTTCATAGATACATAATCTCATATACACTTTCCAAACATATCTCTGAGAGAGGCGCCATTTTACAGATGAGGAACTTGTATGAGATTACTTATGTAATAAGTGAAAGAGCCAGTAAGTCTGGTTTGCCTTACTCAGGATCTCCCAAATTCTAAACCACAGCACCACACTAGTCCTCATTACCTGAAGTGTGCTAATTCCTGATGTCCAGGGTGAAACCAAGCAAGATATAAAATTCTCTTTCATATTTTGATTTGTCAACAACTGTGAAGTATAAAGTATAGTTATAGTCCTATTGACTACATCTTGGAGGTTGTCCTAAAAATGATTTATATAATTTTATTTTCTCTTTTGCCTTCTAAAAAGATAAGAAATTTACTTCATTAGTAGTGACTTTCATAATGAAAATATAATGTACACCAAGGAGAGACCTGTGTGCCTTTGCATCTTCCATATCTAGTAAATTATCTTTTCTCCAGGATAATGACTAGGCATTTTTATTGTTTCCTCAACGTATATATTCTTTCCCTTTATCTTGCTTATTCTGTTTTACAATTATTGTTTCAAACAGCAAGTTTCTTTTTCCTCTTTACTAAAAAGTGTGAGCTTGGAGTCAAACAGCAAGTTTTATATTGTGGTTTCTTCTTCTTTAACTTTGTAATGTGGAAAGCTTTAAATATATACAAAAATTGAAAGGTGTCTTTTTTTTTTTTTTTTTTTTTTTGAGACAGAGTCTCACTCTGTTGCTCAGGCTGGAGTGCAATGGCACAATCTCGGCTCATTGCAACCTCCGCCTCCCAGGTTAGAGCAATTCTCCTGCCTCAGCCTCCTGAGTAGTTGGGACTACAGGCGCACACCATCACACCCGACTAATTTTTGTGCTTTTAGTAGACACAGGTTTCACCAGGTTGGTCAGGCTGGTCTCTTCTGACCTCAGGTGATCCGCCAGTTTTAGCCTCCCAGAGTGTTGGGATTACAGGCATGAACCACCACGCCCAGCCTGAAAGATGTTTAATAGAACAACGAACCTCCATGTATCCATTACCCAGCTTTGATTATCCGCTCATGCCATCATTGTGAGATCCATCTCTCCACTTCTTTGCTGCCTGTTTGTTCACATCATTTGATCTAAAAATTGCAGAGTGTATCCATAAAAATAAGCACTTTATTAGAACAGCAGCTATTAAATACGTTCAAGACGAAGAAACAATACATGCTTTTAAAGCAAAGGGTTTTTGAGCAGTTCAGTATGTTGATTTTTCTTTAAATGCTTTGTAAAAGTCATTATTTGCTCAAAGTCTTCACGTTCTTGCACCCTAATTAATTGTGTAGTGCTTCACGACTTTTCCAGCAGGGGGCACTTGGAGGTTGGAGGGATTTAGATATTTAAAGGAAAGAAAGCCCTTGAGCTTTTATCATAACCCAGAGTAATCCATCTCTTCCCATGCCTTTTAAAAATCTCTTTGGTGAATCTAGATGCAAAGCAAAAGATGCGACAAGCCTGGAAGTCTTGGTTGATCTACGTGGTTTTTCGTAGGACCAAACTTCAGATGCAGACTATGGCTCTGGAGTTTAGGCAACGGAGTATCTTACGGTGAGTCTCCTCAACTGTCCTACAAATTAGCAACCATCATTTACCTTATCAGCTTTATGGTGCTGAAAAGCAGCATATAAACCCACCTTAAAACAATGGTGTTTTTTTTTTTGTTGTTGTTGTTGTGTTGTTTTGTTTTGTTTTTTTTTTTTGAGATAGGGTCTTTTCTGTCACCCAGGCTGGAGTGCAGTGGCACAATTGCAGCTCACTGCAGCTTCCAGTTCCCAAGCTCAAACAGTCCTTCCGCCTCAGCCTCCCGAGTAGCTGGGACTATAGGCATGCACCACTATGCCCAGCTAATTTCTTTTTTTCATTTGTTTTGTAGAGGCGGGGTTTCACCATGTTTCCCAGGGTGCTCTTGAATTTACAGGCTCAATCAATCTGCCCACCTTAGCCTTCCAAAGTGTTTGGATTATAGGCATGAGCCACCATGCCCCGCTCCCACCTTGAAGCAATGTTTTGAACATAGTTGATGCCTAATAAAGATTTATTGATAACTTGTTCAACTATAAGATCAGATTTTTACATAATCATAATTAACACTAATTGAGTACGGTGTTCTAAACCCTATATTAAGTTTATGTGTGCATGTGTTAATTTCATAAAGTATCTTCTTTAACCCTCACTGTAAATTATAAGTACCATGATTGTACTTATAATTTAAGATTAAGATGTACAGTAAGGCTCAGAGAGGTTGAGTAACCTGCCTAGCACACACATGTTGTAATTGGCAAAACTAGGCTCACCCACCCATGCTCTTAACTGCTGTTCTGCATTGCAGCCCATCAGCATTGTAGACGTACTGAGGAACATGAGTTAGTCCACTTTTATAACCAGATGTGTAACAGTGAGCTGCATTATAATGGGACAGATTGCACTGTATGTTGTCTGTAGTGGTCCACTGGTGTCCTGAATGGTAGGATATTAAGAGCTCACTTCCTGCTTGAAAGAGTTGGGTATTGAACAAAGTATGGATAATAGCAGAGGCTTTGCAGCTGTGCTGACTTGGGTTTGAATCCCTCTTCCAACCTGCATTATTGGGTCATTTCATCTCTTCAACTCTTATTTTGCTCATCTGTGAAATAGTTACACCATAGTTGTAGGTTTGTCATCAGGAAGAAATAAAGGAATATCTGTAAAGTACTTAACAGTGTCCAGAACAGCAGTGGATATAAAGAAGTTATTTAAGTAGAAATAAAATTGGCAGAGTACAGTAGCTCAAACCTGTACCCAAAATTTTGGGGACCTAAGGTGGGAGGATTGCTTAAGGCCAGGAGTTTGAGACCAGCCTGGGCAACAAAGCCAAGACCCTGTCTCTACGCACCAAACAATTTTTAAAAATAAATAATTAGGCCAGGTGCAGTGGCTCACACCTGTAATCACAGTACTTTGGGAGGCCAAGGTGGGTGGATCACAAGGTCAGGAGTTCAAGACCAGCCTGGCCTAGATGGCGAAACCCCATCTCTACTAAAAATACAAAAAATTCCCTGGGTGTGGTGGCGGGTGCCTATAATCCCAGATACTTAGGAGGCTGAGGCACAGAATTACTTGAACCTGGGAGGTGGAGGTTGCAGTCAGCAGAGATCGTGCTCCTGCCCTCCAGCCTGGGTGATAGAGGGAGACTCTGTCTCAAAAAAAAAAAAAATTAATTAATTAATTAAAATTGTTCAAATGTATTTAGCAAGTATCTCAAAATGCCTAATTAGTATGCAATTTTACTTGAGTCTGAGTGATGTTTTTATATAAATAATTCATTTTCTCAGCATACATTTATTTGAGACAAAGTCTCAAATAAATAGACTGGGCAGCATATTTGAGACAGAGTCTCAAATAAATACTCTGTCGCCCAGGCTAGAGTACCATGGTGTAATCTTTGCTGACTACAACCTCCACTTCCTGGGTGCAAGTGATTCTCCTGCCTCAGCCTCCCGAGTGAATGGGATTACAGGCACACGACACCATGCCTAGCTAAGTTTTTGTATTTTTAGTAAAGATGGGGTTTTACCATGTTGGCCAGGCTGGTCTTGAACTCCTGACCTCAGGTGATCTACCCACCTGGGCCTCCCAAAGCGCTGGGATTACAGGCATGAGCCACAGTGCCCAGCCTATTTATTGAGGGCTTAAAATGTTCCTGGTACTAGGCTAGGTGCAGTGCCTGAAACTTTATCTTAGTGAAACGCCATCTCTACTAAAAAAATAGAAAAGTTAGCCAGGTGTGATGGTGCACACCTATAATCCCAGCTACTTGGGAGGCTGAGGCATGAGAACTGCTTGAACTAGGGAGGCAGAGGTTGCATTGAGCTGAGATTGTACCACTGAACTGCAGCCTGGGCAACAGAGTGAGACTCTGTCTCAAAAAAAGAAAAATGGTTTCCACAGGAGGCCTGCACACTACCGCTTGTGCTGCTGCCATGTCTCTAGTGATCCCTGAAAAGTTCCAGCATGTTTTGCAAGTATTCAACACCAATATCAATGGGCAACAGAAAACAGCCTTTGCCATCACTACCATTAACAGTGTGGTTGACAATATACTCATGTTGTGTTGAGGAAAGCAGACATTGACCTCACCAAGAGGGCAGGAGAACTCACTGAGGATGAGATGGAATGTGTGATCACCATTATGCAGAATTCATGCCAGTACAAGATCCCAGACTCGTTCTTGAACAGACAGAAGGGTGTAAAGGATGGAAAATATAGCCAGGTCCTAGCCAATGGTCTGGACAACAAGCTCCATGCAGACCTGCAGCGACTGAAGAAGCTTTGGGCCCATAGAGGGCTGTGCCACTTCTGGGGCTTTCGTATTCAAGACCACTGGCCACTGCATCATACTCTGAGTGTGTCCAAGAAGAAATAAGTCTGTAGGCCTTGTCTGTTAATAAATAGTTTATATACCTAAGAAAATTAATAAACAAAACATTCCTGGTACTATACTGGTGCTGGGACTGTATTCAGGAAATGTGTGATTCCCTAAATGCATGAGAAGATAAGTGATTCTACTGCATGGGAGTGATGTTAAAAAAAAGAAGCAGCAGCAGCAGAAGAAGATAAGTGATAATGTAAGATAGCTTGAGGTTTTGCAGTGAGTGCTGCAGGTGAGCATGGTCTAATAGACATCTTTCTGGTTAGAGTGACCAGGCAGAGGAGTGTTTCTGTAAAGCACAGGTTGGAAACTCTTATTTCCCCATGACTATTTTCCTAGAACAAATCTGAAAATTAGTAGAAAAGAAACCAAGACTGAAATGAAAGTCTGACCAGGAAGCTAAGAAGGAAAAGAATACAGCAGGACTAGAAATCTAAAAGCCATTTTATTACAGATTACTTTGTAATTTGAAATCTCCTTATTTTCAAATGTTGGTAATAAGTTTTTGTTATTGTTTTTTTTGAGATGGAGTCTTGCTCTGTCGCCCAGGCTGGAGTGCAGTGGTGTGATCTCAGCTCACTGCAACCTTGACAGGTTTAAGCGATTCTTCCACCTTAGCCTCCTAAGTTGCTGGGACTACATGGTGCACACTCTGCCATGCCTGGCTAATTGTGTGTGTGTGTGTGTGTGTTTTGTAGATATGGGGTTTCACCATGTTGTCCAGGCTGGTTTCAAACTCCTGAGCTCAGCCAGTTGCCCACCTTGGCCTCCCAAAGTGCAGTGATTACAGGTGTGAGTCACCGCACCTGGCCCATAACATTTTTTTTTTCTATGTCTGGTTTTTTTTGTTGTTGTTGTTTTTCCCTGGCCACGTCTGATAAGACCATAACATTTTTTTTTTAACAAACCAGTCTGTGTAGGCCGAACAGAGCATGTCTGTGGTGTCTAAAGCCAGATCTGACCTTAGGAACCATAAGTTTCCAACCATTAATTGGCAGCTCTAGGACTTTTTCTCAGTTATTTTCCTTTTTCCCCCAGCAGTGAATCTACAGATGGCACTATGAGGGAGAGGACTAGAGCTGAGGGTCTGAGGCCCCACACTAAGTGCTCCTCTTTTCTGAGTGGCTTTCTTCTGATGGGTTCCATCTTTGACTTGCTCTTTCACAGGGTGTGGTGGAGCATGTGGAGGCAGCGACTAGGACAGATCCGTGTGAGCCGTGCCCTCCATGCCTCTGCTGTGAAGCACAGGTCCCTAAGCCTCCAGCTGCAGGTGAGTCCCACAGGCATGGGTTTTGGTGTTCTCTATCCATGTTGTCACGCCTCTCACCCACGGAGAGCAGTGCCGGGCCTTCCCTGCAGCTCAGGGCCTGAGACGCTGTGGGGGCAGAGGTAATCTGGAAGGCTGGGCTCTTCCAGAGGGAGGCTGCTGTTAGGAATGAAGTAAAGGCTTGTCCTAGATGAGCCTAGATTAGCAGTGAGTTCCAGAGTGCTTCTGTGGAACTGGAGAGGGATTTATGAATCAGTTATAAATGTGTTTAGAGAAACAGCAGTATACTCTGATTTCCTCATTACTGTTTCCCTACAGCAAATCAGAAAATAATTGAGGCAGAAAAGAAACTAAGACTGAAAAGAAAACTTGGCTTCTTTTTCCTTACAGTTTTGATTGCCTTAGAATATTCTTTTAGGCAAGCCACTGGCTTTTTTTGTCAATCATCAAGGACTAAAGCCTGTACTAAAATTTTCTTATCCTTTGACATATTCTCTGAATTCTTGTCATGTTTTTGTGTCTGCCGGGTACTTACAGAGCTGCCAAGTAAGTTATAGGAAATAGAACAGGGAAGAGGAAAAAAAATTAGTTCCTGTTTCCAAATATAGGAATAGTAATCTTCTTATTCTAACAACAAATTGCATAGTCCACGTAAATATGTGTAGATCACTTGCAAATAGCATATACAGACAACTAGATCAGGGATCTGGCTCACAGGCCAAATTTGTCCTGCTTTCTGTTTTTGTGAATAAAGTTTTACTGGGATGCTGCTATAACCATTCATTTATGTATAGTCTGTGGCTGCTTTCAGATTACAAGGGCAGAGTAAAGTAGTTGCAACAGGGACCTTATGGCCTAGAAAGACTAAACTATTTGTTTTCTGACCCTTTAGAAAAAGTTTGCAGACCTCTGAACTTGTAAGGTCTTCTGAGGCAATAGCAAAGAAATAAGAGACACAGTTCTTGGCAATAATAATAAAAGTACCAATAGCAGCAGCTACAGAGGTAGCCTTTATTCAGCCTGGGTGACAGTGGGACCCTGTCTCAAAAAAAGGAAGAAGTAGCTTTTATTGTGATCTTACTTGTGGTCTTAGGTGCTGGACTAAGTGCTTTTTAAAAAATTCCAGATTGGCCCAGTGCATTGGCTTATGCCTATAATCCCAGCACTTTGTGAGACCAAGGCAGCCAGATTATGAGGTCAGGAGTTCGAGACTAGCCTGACCAACCTGGTGAAACTCTGTCTCTACTAAAAATACAAAAATTAGCCAGCATGGTGGTGTGTGCCTGAAGTCCCAGCTGCTTGGGAGGCTGAGGCAGAAGAATCGCTTGAACCCGGGAGGCAGAGGTTGCAGTTGTTGCATGCTTTGAAGATAACTGTGCCGAGATTGTGCCACTGCACTCCAGCCTGGGTGACGGAGTGAGACTCTGTCTCAAAAAAAAATCTCATATTATTGTTAAGGAAACCTGGAAGGTTTAAATAACTTGAACCAGGGTCATAGGTGTAGTGACGCTTAGAGCCAGGTTTTAACCTAAGCAGCTAGAAAACTGCATCATCATCTTAATCACCATGCAGTATTGTGCTGAATAGACTTGTAACCTCAGGAGGGAGATGGAACTGATAAATGGGAAAATACTATAAACTCAGAGAGACTGACTGCACTTATAGAGTGACTGTGAATTTAGGGAAATTAAACATAATGAGACTGATTTGCTGTCATTGATGGACAACTGTGCTAGTGTTCTTCCCTTTCTAAAAGCCACTTGGAGAGGCTCTAAAATTATTCTGATGCTACTGTTTAGAACTCCTTTTTTTGTTTGTTTGCTGTTTTTTGTAGTTGTTAGTTCCTGTCTTTTATTAACTCATACAGTTACTTGTCTTCCGGTTTGTTGAAGCAGTAAGTCAGACAACATTTGCCACAATAATGTCTGTCAAAGTGGCTTGCCATAAACACTCCAGCACCACATTCATCAGAAGGGCACTCTCGACAAAGGTGACTAATTTTGCCATCCTCATCCACCTTTATAGTATTTCAGGACAGCCAGCTTAACCTTTTCTTTCTCCTGTGCTTATTCTTCTTGGGAGTGGTATAAGACTTCTTCCTTTTCTTAGCACCACCACGAAGTCTCAACACAAGATGAAGGGTAGACTCCTTTTGAATGTTGTAGTCAGACAAAGTAAGTCCATCTTCCAGTTGCTTGCCAGCAAAGATCAGTGTTTGCTGGTCAGGAGGAATTCCTTCCTTATCCTGGATCGTGGCCTTTACATTTTTTGTCTTATCCAAGGGTTCAGCCTCGAGGGTGATGGTCTTCCCTCTAAGGGTTTTCACGAAAATCTGCATTTTGGTGGCAACTTCACCACAGATGGCGGATAGAAAAGGAAGAACGCCGTGCAGGCCGGAAACAGGGTTTCTGGCACCCCCGCTGAAGGACCTGTTTTTTTTTTTTTTTTTTTTTTGAGACAGTCTAGCTCTGTCGCCTAGGCTAGAGTGCAGTGGCAAAATCTGTTCACTGCAACCTCTGACTCCCAGGATGCAGCGATTCTCCTGCCTCAGCCTCCCAAGTAATTGGGATTACAGGCACCTGCCCCCACCCCCTGCTAATTTTGTATTTCTAGTAGAGATGGGGTTTCACCATGTTGGCCAGGCTGGTCTCAAACTCCTGACCTCAAGTGATTCACCTGCTCCCTCCAACCTCCCAAAGTGCTGGGATTACAAGTGTAAGCCATTGTGCTTGGCCCCAAAATTTTCTTTTTACGGTTATCTTCAAAGCATGCAACAACATATTTGATTAATTTTTTTAAGAGATGAGTTCTCACCATATTGCCAAGGCTGGCCTCCTGTACTCAAGTGATCTTTCCCTCAGTCTCCAAGTAGCTGGTACAACTGGCATGTGCTACCATGCCTGGCTCTGATTAAATATTTTTTATGATAGGAGACTTTTATGGTTTGAGGTTGGATTTAGCATATTTAAACAGCTAAAAGTCATTCAGAGTCAAATCCAATGAAAACTGTGAGTAATGAGGGTAATGTTGATACCGATGAAAAACTATATGGGGCTCTAAGTATGACCTGGATTTCATTGTGTGGATTATAAGTAATAATGCCACACCTGTAACCCTAGCACTTTGGGAGGCCGAGGTAGGCAGATTGCTTGAACCCAGGAGTTTGAGAACAGCCTGTGTAACATGGCGAAACACTGTCTTTACCAAAAAAAATACAGAAAATTAGCTGGGCATGGTGGTGAGTTCCTGTAGTCCTAGCTGCTCTGGAGGCAGAGGTGGGATAATCCCCTGAGCCTGGGAAGTTGAGGCTGCAGTGAGCTATGATTGTGCCTCTGTACTCCATATCTTGTATATCACACCTTGTCTCAGAATGATGATGATGACGATGCTTTGTGTTCGTAAGTACCATACCAAGAATTACACTCTCTTAATATGCACAGCATCTCTATGCACTAAGCGGATAAGACATCATGAAATACGTAAAATTTTAATTTTAATTTAATTTGATATTTCAAACATAGAAACACATAAAATATAAAACACTTATAAAAATATTAGCAGATAGCCAAGTACTCACCATCCTCACCCAGATTTAAAAGGTTATAGCATTTTCTATACTTGCTGCAGAATTTTTTTTTAAGTTATTTTTTAGGGTAAGGATCTCACTCTGCTGCCCATTCTGGAGTGCAGTGGCACCATTATGGCTCACTATACTCTTGACCTCACAGGTGTAAGTGATCCTCCCACCTCAGCCTCCCAAGTAGATGGGAACACAGGTGTGTGCAACCATGCCCAGCTACTGCAGCGTGTGTGTGTGTATGCGTGCATGCATGCATGCGTGCGTGTGCGCATGCACATGTGTCTATGAATATGGAGTCGGGATCTCACCATGTTGCCCAGGCCCAGGCTGGTCTTAAACTCCTGAGCTCAAGTGATCCGCCCACCTCAGCCTCCCAAAGTGCTGGGATTACAGGCATGAGCCACCGTGGCCAGCCCAGAATTTTTTTTTTTTTTTTTTTTTTTTGAGACAGAGTCTTGCTCTATTGCCAGGCTGGAGTACAGTGGCGCAGTCTCAGCTCACTGCAACATCCGCCTCCTGGGTTCAAGTGATTGTCTTGCCTTAGCCTCCCAAGTAGCTAGGACTACAGGTGCACACCACCATGCCCAGCTAATTTTTATATATTTTTTATTAGAGACGGGCTTTCACCATGTTGTCCAGGATGGTCTCGATCTCTTGACCTCATGATCTACCCACCTCAGCCTTCAAAAGTGCTGGAATTATAGGTGTGAGCCACTGTGCCCGGTCCCCAGAATGTTTTAAAGTAACAGAATTTAATGGGCACTGCCAAAGCTCTACCCTCCGTCCCTCCCTACCTCCCTCTCTCCCTTCTACTGCTTCTCCTTCTTAGAGATAGCTACTATTTTGATTCTGGTGTGATTGTTCTCCTTTATTCTTTTTTTCTTATAAAAACATGTGCACATGTCCATAAAGAATAATTGTGTGGTGATGCACTCCTGTAGTCCCACCTACCTGGGAAACTGAGGCAGGTAGATCACTTGAGGTCAAGAGTTTGTCCTCTTTTGAGGCCAGCCTGGGCAATATAATGAGATCCCATCACTTAAAAAGAGGTGGGGGGGGCCATGGTGGCTTACACCTAACTACCACCACTTTGCGGGGACCAGGATAAGAGGATCACTTGAGCCTAGGAGTTCAAGACCAGACTAGGCAACATAGTGAGACCCCATCTCTCCAAAAGAAAAAAAAAAATAGCATGGTGGCACATGCCTGTAATCCCAGCTACTTGGGAGGCTTAGGTTGGAGGATCACTTGAACCTGGGAACTTAAGGCTGCAGCGAGCCATTGATCATGCCACTGCACTCCAGCTTGGGCAGCAGAGCAAGACCCTGTCTCAGAAATTAATTAGTAAGTGAATGCTATGGCTTTGTGTAGTTAGGACAGTTATGAATGGTGTCATGTACTTTGCAACTTTTTTTTAGTGAAA